AGTTAATAGAAGGAGATAATGTAGTGAATACTAGAAATGCATTCCTCATTTGCTTCTTAAAAATTCCCTATGGATTTTGAGCTGGGATTATACTGATTTTGATGGAGAGAGTAAGTCATTTAGGAGAGTCTTGGATTTGGTTCAGTGGCAGAAACACAATATGGGAATCATACACCCAGCAATGGCTGGAATGTAGGCTTGAACAGGACCGTATGTAATGAAGTTCTGGAAATCTCAGGCAAAGCTTCTCAGATGAGGGGACATTGGGAATCATTCTCATATTACACACATCAGGGGGAAGAACATGAGCATATCTGTGCTAATGACTTCCAATTAGTTGAGTGCCACCAAATGTCTGTCTCTTGGGGCCACGTTGAAGAGGTCTCAGAGATGTAATGTTCAGGTCTAGGGAACACTGAGCTCAAAGCTGAGGATTCAAAAGCCTGTGCTCTGACAGATTCTATGGGGTGGGCAGAGGGTGAAGGTGGGACAGGGCTGAGGAGAGGGTTGACACAGAGATTTTTGATGAATTCCTCTCTATTTCCAAAAACAACTCTAAGGGACTGTGCGCTGCTCACTGTGACATTCATCAGTTGTCAAGGCTGGCATTTCTCTTTGTTGAATGAGACAATACAGAGAAGAGAAAAAGGCGCATTACCAAGAGCAACAATGAATTTCCCATCTTGTTCTAAGCCAAGGGTTATGTAAAATGATAAAAGGGGGAAACGTGTTACCAGGAGCCATAAATTTGATTTCCTGGTGAGCTGTTTTTTTTAATGCATCTTCCCTTCAAAAAGTCACTTGAACATTCAAAGATATTGGCTTGAAGAAGATAAAAGAAAGTCACAGAAAGTTCAGGAGCATGGGAAAGTGAGATATGGCTCTTGTTTTCACCTTTCCTGATATGCTGTATGATTTGGGCACTGGTGGCACCACTCTAGGCTTTGGCTTCACCATCTCTGGAGCATGATGTGGTCACCAACCTCACCTTCCATGACCTGCAGGGTTGGTTTTATCAATGTGACCAGCCCAAAAAGAAGCTCTTTCCAGAATGCAGGATGAGGTATTTAAACAAAATAGCTTGTGTCAACACACTTAAATTCATGTCCAACTTTTTCTACTTTTTGAAGTTCTTCATGGTGTCCCCCATCACCCTTCCAACCTGCAACATGCCCAAAATACTATCGTTCCTATTTCCCACTGATTCTTTGAAGACTAACTCTGAATGTGCAAAATGCAACCCTTAATGCATTTTCTTAAAGTCCACTTGCCCCTTTTCCAATGGTCTGGATTCATTTAAAAGAAGACCTAGATAGAGAAGATATTCAGGCAAGACAGGCCACACAGTGTGGTAAGATCTTTGTTACTATGAAATGGGAGGTTCCAAGACGTCAGTCCTGGTTGCCCACCCAAATCACTAAGGAATAATGCAAAAGATACTTGTTCTGGGTCTCAGTACATTCTGATTCCCTTGGATAGCAGTGGGACATCAGCTTTGAAATTGTAAAATCTCACCAGGTGTTTCTAATGTGCTCTGGAATACAATATTCGCTACACAAAGCTTCTAGTATTATTAGCTAGAGAACTTGCAAAAATGCAACTTGAATCTGCAAGTGTAGGATGAGCTCTGTAATTCTGCTAATGAGGCAGGTGCTGGTCATGTGGGACCACAGTCTGAGAGCAAGATGGACCTCAGTGGTGGTTCCCAATATTCAGCATTGATTTCTGTAACCCAGGGACTTGCTGAAAATGTCACTGGGGCCTGGATCTGGCCCTAGAGTAGGTGTCTCATTTAGGAAGGAGCCTGTGAGAATCACTGATCTATAATGCTTATTTTCACCTGAAAGTGCCATGATGCTAGTTTTGTGATTTTCTAATATGACTTCTATCCCAATTCAGTTGTTCATTAAAAAAAAAGGACAGTATCAGATACGGAGTGTGTGGAACTTTATTGATAGAAACCTAATAATGGATGACCTCAAATTATAGGATGTCCAGGCATGCCTGATATTTGAGGTCACATGTATCTATGGAATATTCTTTTGAGCAAGTGGAGACCTTGGTAGAACTCTCCTGTGCTAGCAGGACTTACTGCAGATGGATCACTCACAAAGTAGAGCATTCTCCACTGACAGCAAGCAAACAAGATGCCCCTGCACTTTTTTCCTGCTCTCTGCAACACATCATGTCTGATTCTCAAAGTAGAATCCCCAGAGAGGCAACTGATTTCCTGTTGGTGTCAAACCAAGCAAAAATGGAGACGGAAGAAAGTAACAGCCTGCTTCATTTAGCAAAACAGATCACTGATCTTTGGAAATCTCAGGGACTTCCAAAAGAGTGTGTCCTATGATAGATGGTTTTTATCCATGATTTTTTTCTCACTCTCTAAGATCCTTCTTGTGCTAACTAGCTAAGACATCCTCTATTTAGGGACAGGATGTTTACCACTTTCCAAGAAAAAAATTAAAGAACTCTAAGAAGCATTTAACAACATAATTCTGAAATTATGGGTAAGTATTTTGTATTTAATCAATATAGAAGGTGCTGATTTCCCTAGAACACTATGAATTTGCACATACTGTGAATTGAGGTAGGGGTGAGTAACTGTATAGAAAATGAGATAGAAAAAGGAAAAGAATTATGATTCTCTCGCTTGCCCCTTTGGAAGTATTTACATCTGCCAGATCACTTGATCAGTCTGTAGAAAGAGCTGCGAGACAGTGAAAGTGGACAGCTGAGAAGAGCAATCAACACATGACAGCTTAGTCAGTGGGTTCTGAGGTCAGCCAAGCCCCAGTTTCTTAACTCTGTACCGTGCTTCCAATTCAACCTGCTTCAAACTGGGACCATTTGTCTTTCCTGCAGTGTGTGGGTGAGGCGGGTGTTGAGGATTGACACAGGCCCCATCACACTGAAATAGATCCAGGCTTTTAAGATTGACATAGCCTCCTGTTAAGTCAGCGGGGCTCAGACTTCCAATTGTCTTCAGCTCTTGACCTTTCTAATGACCTGCTATCCTGGCTGCATACAGGTTTGCTGTGGAGTGAGATGCAACCGAATTGTCCTAACTGCCTTTTTCAACGGTGGTCATCACGTTGCCCTCCTTGCCCTGCTCTCAGTCATGCTACTGGTGAGATATTTGTTGACCTTTGCTAAACACCTGATTTCTGATTCAGGGAGTCTAGGGTTTTGCAACACTGGCCTAGAGGTTTGGGGAGCCCCCCTCCCCGCAAACCCAGGATTCCTTGCCTAGAACGTCATCCTGGCTTCCCTCAAGTGAACGTGACTCTGGAGAGCAGCAGCAGCTTATGCTGCCACCTCCCATGCATTTTCCAGTCACTCCAGCTCTGGTGTCTAAGCCACAGTCACTGATGGTGACAATTCTGACCACTCCGCCCCCAGCTCCATCTGCTGACAGTCACCAGGCTGCCTCAAGTTTTCTGAGCCTCCTACACACTGCCCGTTCCCTTTCTGTAAAAGCCGGAAGCCCGTGGTCTTCTTAAAAGTTTAACCTGTCCCCACTGCAAGCAAAACAAAGTGGACATCTGCATTCTCTATAATTAACTGCTGCTCCCTTCTCGCCCTGCCCACAGCTGTGCCGCTCAGATGCACAGCTCCTCCATGGAACACGGTGCTCTCATTCAAGTGGAATGGAGCAGATGCTGCTGTGCACAAATGCGGGGCTACGGCTGAGAAGGAGCCTCATCTCACCCCCTCTTCTCCCAGCCTCGCTCTGCACCCACTTTTAGCATCTTCCTACTGCAGACTCCCCGACCAGGCTGAGGCTCTGACCAGTGCCTCTCTCTTCTTTTTCTCCACATCTCTGGAAGTGGCCGAAAGAGAAAAGCCTTCCCAGGAGGGATGCGAATTAGCTACTGCATCACTGTTGCTAATTCAAGTTGTGCTGATGAGCACGCAGACTCAAGCACACCCACCCCGTCATTTCTAGCCCCTCGACTTTTGCTCTCATTCTGGGCAATGGAAGCAAGGAAGAAGCAGATTTGCAAGCCCTCGAGGTTGCTACCAGCAACTAGTTCAAGAATGAGTTAAAAATTCAAAAGGGGATCTGGGAAAACCAGGGTGGAATATTATCAGTGTCCAGCGTGAAGTCCCATCATATAACAGTGAAAGAAGCTGAGATTATAAAAAATGATGCTTTTCTTATCTCTGCTTGGTGACTTTCAAGAATTCATCTCACTTTGTAGATTAAAAAATAGGGACATTGTCCTTCTCAGTATTCTATCAGGATGTGCCCATCATTCAGGTTGCCTTGATTGGACATCTTAAATATTTTATAGAAAATAGGAAAAACCTCCTATATACCAGGAGACTTTATAAAAGACTCTGGTTTCTTTTACTACTCTAAGGACCAACCTTGTGCATGCACCTTGAACAGAAGAGCCTAACTGATCACCATGAACAAAGCGGTGAAAATGTCACTCATCACAATACAGATGCTCCTTATGTCTTCTGGGATGTGCAATATCAGTTCCCCAAGGCAATAGCTGAAACCATTTAAAATACATAAGGTAGCTAGATGAGGCTGGTGTTTGTCTCAGGAACCCCTAATCTAGCTGAATTCCACTCAGCTAAGCCAGGGTTCCTGAAGATATCCACCGCAGTAATGGCTGCAAACTTAAAAGTTTTCAGGGAGAAAAAAATGCCCCTGATTCTCTTTCAGCCCTAGGCCTTGGGCTCAAGGAGGTCCCCAAGCCCTTGAGTTGTTTTCTAGCTCAGCTTTCTCAGAAGCATTTGTACCCATTATTGGGTACAAATTGGGTACATTATTGGGTTCTTACTGCCTTAAACAAATGTGGATTTATTTATTCTATTACATGCCCATTTCAGTTCTAACAGCCTTTTGGAGAGGTTATCAACTTGGAAATTCTGATTGTTAAATTTCTGGGGCACAGTTTAAACTCTTCCATCCTACACTGCACTGTTCATAGAGAACCAGGTCAGACCTGTGAGAACTTTGCTCTGTTGTTCCCATTTGTTACCTTGAGCTCCTTGACTGTAGAAGAACCTTTGAGCTGACTCCACATCCAAAAGTCTATGAGCAGACTCGACATCCAGAAAATAATCCATTTTGGGATAATCCATCCTGGAGGTTCAATCACAGACTTCCAAGAGAAAATGTTCACTTTAATGCCTATAAAGAGGAAAAGATTCACAATATTTTAGATGGAACATTATAAGGTATATATAGCATATATATATAAAGCATATATATACATATATATAGCATATATATAAAGCATATATATATATATATATGCTTTAAATTTTTGAATAAGAATAGCCCATAATAATACCCACTACTTGACTGACATTTTTAATTCTAAGACAACCCCACCACCACCACCACCACAGCTTCACTATTTTGAAGGAAATGCAACCTTTAGCCAACATTTATTAAAAGTAATATATTCTACTCAAGAAAAACAGACAATCCAGGCTAGAAAGAGATAACATACCAGTCTTTTCCTTGCTTTGTATTAACTGGAAAATATTGTTAAATTCTCAGGCTATCATTTTTCAAAGTTCTATCTGGTAAACGGCATCAGGAAGTGTCAGGCATCCTGAAGGTTGATTCTCATTTGATCTGGAGATGTTCAGATTCTCCTCCAGCAGGGAGAATTGCTTGGGAAGCCAACCTTCAGCTCATAGAAGCCTGGTGTCTATGACACACACTGACTTGTTTGCTGGAGAAATGCCTTGAATTCCTCCCTTTTTAGCAATTCCCTCTGGTGCATTTTATCAAGTGCTACAGGCTCATCACCTGCCTGCACCTGACACAGGCTGCTTTTAAGAAAGAAATGTGGTTTGCAGAGCAGCGACAATTATTGCAGCCTTGCAATGATTCCCACAGCATTACCATGCACCAGCCAGTCAGGAAGCTAAACCACTTCATGCAAACACATCCAGCCTCTAGGGTTCTTTTTTTGAGTCCATGGAACCTTTCCTTGATATTTACACAAATGAAGCATATCTATTTCTGCATGGTGTCTTTACAGAAAAAATTAACGAGACAAAGTCATTAAAATCAAGCTCAGAGGGGCTAATCCAACTGGTTTCTCGTTCTAAAGATACACATTTTAATTTAAGAAAGCAAGTCTGCTGAGAAGAAACTTTTAAAAATTATCCAAAGGTACCCCAACAGCCGAGCATACTTACTGCAGAAATATCCAGGGTTCACTGTCAGCAATCCAACAAGGGCAGTTTCAGCCAGGTGTCTTTGATCTCACTAAATATTCCCGGTGAAAGTAAACAGTTTTGATTGTTTGATTAGATCAGTGATGAATAATGCATTCCATCCACTGGACTTCCTTTATCAGATAAAATGGCCAGAGCACGTTACCTTAGCAACAGAAGGTGACGCCAGCCTCTGCTTCCCTGTGCCCTCCCCTGCAAAGGAAGAAAATTACCAGTTTCTCATGTAAAACTTTGGCAGAAAACCATCAAAATCTACATGGAGATTTTACATCAGCCAGGGCTATGCCCTACCCTATCCCCATGTCTTGTGCACAGGGAAGTGTCAGAGTCATTAAAAAAAAGAGACACAGATTTCTGGCTTAATCATCTATTTTTTTTTAATCCTAAATCCCGGTTTGGTTTGCAATTACAACAGAATAGTATATTAAATGGTTAAACAATCAATAGGAGAAAGTTGTCTGAACAATGTTGGGGGGCTTCAATGCCTACTGAAAAGGTGACCCCAGTGGTGGCAGGGAATGAGGGGAATGGTAAGGAAGGGCCACGCTAGCAGGCATATGTTCAACATCCCTGTTATAACTAATACACAGAAACAGTCACCGGCATCAAGGCTAGAAATAACTCCTTCTGTGAATCAGTCACTGGAAGCAGCTTAAAAAGCTGCCTGAAATTTCTCAGATTTTGAAAGACGCAGAATAATATAAATCTTAGTGGGAGAACCACCTCTGTAAAGCAGACATAGCCAGAAAGATAGACATACAGCAGGAGGATTCTCAGAGTTGGCAGATACTCACCAGCACTTGTTGACCCTTTCCAACAGGACACAGGAGAGCGTCAGAGAGCTGAACAGCACAGCTGAGCCTGCCAGCCCAAATGAGCAGCTCCTAATTTTCCCTTCAATCTTGAGTCAAGAGCACGGAGTGGAGGAAAGTGATGGATTTGCCCATTTTATATTGTGATGAAATGCAACCCCTCAGAAGAGATCTGAGTGGAGCTGCTCTTTAGAACACATTAGACTACTAATTTAAGAAAACTGAAAGGTTTTGTTTTACTGTCTTTTATGTATTCCTCTCTGCTACCCCCTCAACTTAATTTGCATTTAAAATTATTCTCATGTCTCCTGGGCTCTCCAAGGTGTGGAACACTTTCTAATCACGAAGGCTGTTCTGGTAGGGTTTGGTGCAACCCCACTTTTATTCTGAGCTGCAAAACAAAGGGGGTAGTTAAAACTGCGAACTGTTTTGGGGAGAGAAATATAGGGGGGGGGCACATTTGGTTTCAGACCCCTCCTTATTCCCCAGATTTTCTTCTCCCTACCTCTGGATATTTGGACAAATCATACCAATCTGTCTAAATGCATTCTCCTCTGTGTGAATGTGACACATTTACCCCAACAACAAAAAGGAACTCTGGTTAAGTATCTGAGGTTACTCTGGTTTACTATACTCCCTACCAATCTCAGTAAGGATTTGGAGATTCAATACTGTGAGATCTGTTCAGACATCACATAATGAGAGCTAAATCAATCCCTGCAGTGGTGGCAACCCTGTGGTCCTCGCTTCTTGTGCTGTAGCAGGCTTTTTGTTAATCACTGAAAGTTCTAAGAGGTTTGCCATCACACAGTGTGTATTTTACAACATCCTCTTCTACCTACGGTGGAGTAAGCAGAATTGATTATTAGGTGGTATGGTGTGCAGTGAGCTGAATTGTGAAGAAAGGAGAAGCCAACATTTGAGAAGCACTGGAAGGACGATCATGAAACTCCCCTCTCCTGTGTGCACAGGTCTGCCAGCTGCCCTGGATGCAAAGCAGAAAAACTCCAGTTGTGTGTCTTCTGGGCTATCCCAACCCAATTAGAAGAAGCCAAGGGCCAAGCTGGTGCTGCAGACAGCTGAGGCCAGAAGAAGAAGGCAGGTAAAATTCCCAGTGGTACACTCTTGGTAAGCTAACTTTGGACTCTGAATGCCCAAAACTTTGCTTAGACCAAGGACTTATTTAAGGTTATATATCTATTCAGCTCCCAGAGGAGACATGCTGAACACTTGACATTTTCAAGAGAAGGAAGCTGTCTTCTGGTTCCTTTGCTTTACAGTGGGGTGTGGGCGAAGGGTTCTGAACCCGCTATTGTGATTCTATTGAAATTGTAATGACTCATAGGTGACACACAGAGAAAGAGAGAGAGAGAGAGAGAGAGAGAGAGAGAGAGAGAGAGACAGAGAGAGACAGAGAGACAGAGAGAGAGAGAGAGAAACAGATAAAGAGACAGAGAGAGAGACAGAGACAGAGACAGAGAGAGAAACAGATAAAGAGACAGAGAGAGAGAGAGAGAGAGAGAGAGAGAGAGAGAGAGAGAAAGACAGACAGACAGACAGTCTGTATGCTATGACAAACACCAAACATTTAGGTGAGTGCAAATGACTGTGTGATTAAAGTTGGTGCTAAATAGGACATTTGGAAAATGGAGTTGATTCCTGGGGTGGGAGTGTATTTGGAAGTCAATCACTTCCAAGAGAACTGACCAAGAAAGAGAAATTTAAAGTACCTTAAAAATAATATAAAAAGGCTATGACTTGAGAACTTATAGAAAAGAATTTCAACTTATTTGAAAAGGGACTGATTGATCATTCATTTGTAAAAGGGGCTTCATTTTATTAAATAATTAATCACTAGATTCTTTAACATTATATAACCAGCTTCTAAAATACATTTTCAAAAACGATTTTATGTTCTGGGGAACATAGCAATAGATTACATGGAGGAATATATATGTGAGGAAATTATTTTCCAAGTGGAGAAGCCAAGAACAGACTATAATCAGCTCAGATCTGTTTTATAATAATCTTCTCAGAAGCAACACTTAAGATGATCCACTGTTCTGAGAGCCAGCAAAATCAGAGAAGGTGAAAGGTCAGCCCAAGTATTCAGACTAAACGCAGCACTGAGCAATTATACCCAAAACATCCTTGAGACATCAGCTCTACAGAACTTAACTTAGAAAGTGTTAGACTATCTCTAGAACCTAGAAATAAAAAATAATCCTGAAACTTCTGAAGCAGAATTCTTTTATGTTGGTGGCACCAAATTATGAACATGTAGAACTACAGGGTTGATCCAATCTAGAATATAGTAGTACATAATTTTCTGTTTCCAGTTTGGTGGTAAGAAGATGCACATAATTCATAATAGAGATTATTTAATGGTGGAATCTAGAGAAAAGCAAAGATGTCAGCTTGCATTAAGTTATCATCGAGGTACACTTACTTATTCTACCGGATGATACAAGACCTAAAAATCCTGAGAGAGAAGATGGCATGATTTATAAATAGATAATTTGCTCTTTTTCTACCATCTGATTGCCATTAGAGTCAGTCTGCTTTTAGTCTGTTGTAAAGGTTCTTGCAATTTTACAAGTTTATTGTGAATTTTACTTGTTTAATTATATTTATTCCAGAGTCCATTAGAAGACTTTGTTTTATATTTGTGATAACCTAGATGAAGTCCTAACTCTTACCTATATGAAATCATGGGGAAGTTTCTCTTTTTCTTAACAAACTCAACCAAATTTAATTTTAAAATGATAGAAGCTCACTTAACATGTGGCGAGAATCTTGACTCTCCTGGTGGGACAGCTACAGGAAGACCTTCAGGAAGTGCTGGCTTGCTTACAGGTGCCTTCCCTCATACCTTGGGGGTGGTTCCAGGGTTCCCATGGATACTCAAATCTTCACACACTGAGGTTCTTAATATAAGATGCTGTATACTTCCATTTAACCTGTACGCATCTTCCTGTACATTTGAAGACACCTCTAGATTACTTATAAGACCTAGTAGAATATAAACGCTGTCAGTACTTGCTATATTGTGTTGTTTAGGAAGGAGGACAAGAAAAGAAGCCCATACAAGTATAGCACAGATGTAATTCTTTTCCTGCAATATTTTGATCCATGGCTGGTTGAATCCACAGATACAGAACCCAAGTATACAAAGAACTGACTGCATAGAAAACATTATTCATTATTTTCACAAGTAGTTGGCCCCAAAATAGATTAGCCTGAAGACCACTGGTTCTTCTCTGCTAGGCAAGTCATTCTCTTATCTCTCAACCTTTCATTCATATGAAATTTTTTTATTTCCTTGCTCATTAAACATTGCCATCAAATAGGAGAGGTATTACAAACCTTTTATCCATGGTATTATTCATATTAAAATCTCCCTCAAGGAAGAGGGAGAAATCACAAGCTTGTAATTATCATTAGTTATTTTTACTAATCTTCAGACATTTAGTTTTTGAGAAATATCTGATAATTGGTGAAAAGCTAAAGAAGGCTGGGAATGTGGATCAAGTTTAAAAAAAAGAAAGAAAGAAAAGAAAAGAAGACTCATGGGGAAGAAAAGCTGAATTGTATCCCACATAAGCCTGCAGTCATGTTTCGAGGGTTTACTTAGGCACACACTCCCAGTGCTTAGCTGGCAGAAAATATTACATCTATGCACACTCAATTAGGGCAAAGGCCTGAAGCTGCCCTGCAGGCCCAGAGGCAGATTTCTAAATCCAATTCAAGACATTATGCCAAAGGATTCTTCCCTTAGCCCGTCTTCTGAAATTGCGGGAGGGTCTCATGCCAGAGGAGGAACAGCCTGGGCCAGTGTGACAGAGGCCAGGATCTCACAGGGTGAATCCTTCAGCTCCAATTGCTGGCCCTTCTGAAAGTGCCCTTTCTCTCTCAATATTGTGAAGACAGATCAGTTTAAAGAATGAAGTACAACAGTTCAAATGGCATCTTAACCCCTGCCAACTGCATTCTGGTTGTGTTGCCAGTGTAGAAATTGCTCAGCGTGGCAGAAAAATTAAATTGGAAATTATATGTGCACCTCAGGGTTTGGATAACTGACCTACCAGTAGGGACAGAGAGAAATGTGCTTAAGGAAATGAGGGATTTTTTGCTGATTATAACTCTTAAATCCATCAATACAAAGGCATGAAAATGATGCTCCAAACATGGAGAAATATGTTGGCAGTAGTAGCTTTTAAGTTGAGTTTTAGGATATATTATAATCATACTTGACTTCATTCCATCTCAAAAAATTCACATTATCCTTATTTGTGTGTGTGTGTGTGTGTGTGTGTGTGTGTGTGTGTGTGTGTGTGTGTGGTTTATTTTCAGCTCTCCTGGAGATGGCTGAAAATTAATCACGAGTTTAATTGCATTAAAACGGTGTCATAAGTCAATGCAACAGTGTCTTGCACATGTTACCAACTGGATTCTGCATTTTTCATCTGATTCAAAGGGCATTCTTCAGAGGGGCCACACAAATTCAGAGCATCAGTGATCCATGCCAAAATACCCTTCCCCAAAGGTCCTCTGCTGTTGTTTTTGCAATTCTGCTTTCCCCACAGCTGTTTCTAACTGTGAGATACAAAATGCAGTGGAATTTTCACAAGTTCACTTTATTCTTGCTCAAATTAAACAGCATAATATATGTAGATGCTTGACCAGAGTGGACACTATATATACTGAGTAAGAGTTCCACAAGGAAGTATCTATTATTTCAGGGATAGGCCCATGGTTGTTGCATCTCAGGGTTCTGTTATTTTATGTTTATTCATCACGGTGTAGTTGGTAGTTGATTTTTGCTCATGGGGTGTCAGGAATAGTGGCAACTTCTGGGGATACAACAATGTACCACCATAGATCAATTCCTTTCCTCAGAAGATTACAAATCATATGAACTTAGACTCTCCTAATTATCTTCCCGTTAAGGCATACATTGAAAATGACTACATTTCTTTGCAACTGCATAGATGTGTCCAGGGACAGTCAGCCCAGGCGCTCAGCCACGAAGAACTGAGAAGATGTTATTCTGCCTTATCAGCTTGGCAGCTTTGTGTGCAATGCCCTATCTTTAATGTGTTTAATTTCTCTAGAGCTCTTTGGATCAGATGAAAAATGCAGTATCTAGTTGGTAACAGGTGCAGGAAGGGGTAGACACTGTTAC